AAAGTAATTTTATTATCTGTAATGGTGAAGATTTTCGGTCTTTCAAAGGCAGAAAGAAATATGACATTTAAGAAAAACCACTTTTTCTCAAAACATGGACATTTTTGATGCAGAAATAGGTGAATTGCTGCCAGATTCTACTTAAAATGCCAAAGCACCCAGAGAATTGTTAGCTGGGTATTTCAGTGTCACTCCTATGCAAGTAACATTCTCCTCTGGAGTGTCAGACCTGTCTCTGTTCAGTGCTTGGAAAAACTAAATTATGGAAAGTTTCAGAGGAACCAGGACAGACAAAATGACCACTTGCTGCTCTTTAATTTTACATTCCATTCTTAAATTCCATTTAAAAAACCAAAACAGAAGTGAGACTTTGTGTTTTTCTTCCCAATATGTACCAGCTTTTGCACATTAAGAAGAGAAAAACTCAAAATATGAAGGCAAGTGGCTTACTAAGAGAGCTGAGCATCACTTATTTGAAAAGCCCATGGTACATTTTGTGGTTTGGGTTTGAAGGTGTTAATTTCCTCCCTAAACATCATTTTCTACTAATCTTCTTGCACATTCTGTAAAGGAAAAAAAAAATTTTTAAGGAGAAAATGAATACTAAGAATCAAAGACACAAAGAATGAAGTTTTTTGTAATAGAAGTATAATCAATATCTATTAGTTTCAGGTGTGCATCCATATTGATTAGGTATTTTTATATATTATGAAGTGGTAATCCCCATAATAAATCTCGTTACCAATTGTCACCATGCAAAGTTATTACAATAGTATTGACTTAATTCTCTATTCATCTCCATGACTTGTTTATTTTATAACTGGGAGTTTCCCCTTTCCCAATTCTCCTCCACACTCTCCTCTCCCTACTCTGGTAATCACTAGTTTATTTCTTCTGTCTATAAGTCTGTTTTTGAAGAAGTAACTTTTATTTCTTTCTGCTTGGTTATTTATTTTTATTCTGCTCTCAAATTAAATGAAAGAAAATCTAGCATATTAGACTTGCTTGCTTATTTTAAAATCAGTTATAGTTGCTGAATTTTATACTTTGGGTTTTAGAGGCTTGATATCTTTTCTGTGTGTACATTATTCCTAAAATAACCATGTAGAAGAATCACATTTATTCAACTGGGTTGGATACAAATATGAATAAGCCTTAATTCTTCCCCCTAAGGAGCTCAGACTTTGTCAATCTAGGCAATAGATCTTACTGTGCCATGGTTCCTATGCCTTTTCTTCAGCAGTCTTGACAAAAATATACCTAAGGGCAAGAAATAAATTTTCTGGCCTAAAGTCACATATGTATAAAGAAAGGGAACAAAAAAGCACTGGACTCATCAAATCTTTAGAGTTCTCCCACAAAACTCACACTGCCAGACCCACCAGCAAAAATGACTAATGGAGTCATTAGTCCAAGCAAAACACGGGACAGCCTGTTAGATCTCTTTGTTGGCAAGTGCACTACAGACTTTACAAGAATGCATGCAGTTAGTTCAAGAGATATTTGCTGTTTCCCAGGGAGCTACTGACTGACTGTTCTGAAATGGTCACTTCTTCCTAGCTATACTAGCCAGAAGCAGATGGCTTCTTCTTCCCACACTTAGTTCACCTGGATGGATGGAACAGCTGAGGGCCTTGGCCTTCAGGACTCATGAACAATTTGAGAATTGAACATTGCACTTCTCATTTTTATTTTCACATTCTATATTATCCATTATCTCCAGACCCATGTAAGCACGTATTATGGGTTAAAGTAGCAACTTGTACTACTCTTAGGGGTTTCTCCAAGACTCTCCACACATTTCCATGAGGAGCTGGTGGGAAATTGTAATTGTCCTGTATCAAAGGAGGACCTGCCACCTCTCAAATATCACCTTTCAATGGGACTTTTAGACTTTTGAAGCTGCTTTCCCAGTATTTCCTATCCCCTTTCCTGCTATCATTCATTTCCCTTTATAGTATTTATTGCTGTCTAACAGACTGTAAGAAGTCCATTTTGTTTATAAACTGTTATTCTCCACTAGAATATAAGTGGAACCCTGAGGTCTATGTCTGTTTTGTTCATTGCTATATCCCTAGCACCTACATTAGTGGCTGGCCTATAGGAGTGTTAAATCAATATTTGTTCAAGGACTTCTATAAATAATCTTATACTGAAAATAAATGTGAACATACAGCATATGATTTATGAACCTGAGAAAGAGTCAATAAGACTGTGGACCTATTTCAAGAACTTTGAGGCAGCATATGGTGTAATTGTTAACTGCATGACCTATGAACTCAAACTGTTGAGTTCAAGTTCCTGCTCCACTAGTACTTGATGTGTTACCCTATCTAACCTCTGTTTTCTTTCTGTGAAATGAAGATGAGGATGTCTTTATGGCTTCCCCTATAGGGCTGTTTTGAATATTAATGAAATATACATTGTATGTATGGCAATATTGCTACTATTTTTATTTATTTCCACTTAATGCAGTCTCGGTATACGGCCAAGCTATACTTACAATAGCTCCTTTCATTTCAATAGAGCAAATATTTTAGTAGGTATCTGCCAGTCATTACAGTGAGTGAGGAACCTCCTGTTCCTCATCTTTATCTCAACTGCCAGACTGATGCTTACATTCTGGAATCAGTGACCTAGCAGGTGGCCTCTTTCATGTCCTTTATAGCTTCAGAAAAGATGGTATTTTCTTCCTAGTAACCACCTCTCCCAAGCCACCTTCCTCACCCAAAAAAATCTAGTTATAGAATTACATAGATAAAAGAAATTTCTTTTAGATTTCATTGAGGTCTTTCTCTCACCAACAACTGTTCTTCTCTTCCCACCTTCCACAATCTCCCTGGAAAGGGAGTCAAGCAGCCTGTATTTCATCTCTTGAAGTTGCCCTCCACCCCTGTACAAAGGAATGTGTCTCATATATGCACAGTATGTGTTGTTAGAAAGCCCCACCTCACTGAATTAAGTTTAGCCACTGTCTTAGTTCTGAATTCTAGAGTTACCCAAAGTAAGATGGCTCCACTTTCCATGTCACACTCATGGAATATTTAAGATAACCTAGACTCTTCTTCCCTGATGAAACATCCATGGTCCTTGTGACCACACCTCATAAGGCAAAATTTCTAGATCCTTCTTTATCCTGCCTACCTCCTTTATAATTTTTTCACTTCAACAATGAATATTTGAATTATGATCCCATGACATGCCCCTCAACTGTAAATGCGGTATGACCTGTACTATGCCCTAGAATTTGACCATCTAGGCTTTGAAAATCCAACTTGTTTGAAAGCTACATGGGCTTTTACAAACAATTTTAGAAAATCTATCACACTATTAGCCAAGAGCAAGGTTGTGGTTAAGTAAAATCCCCACATCTGTTTCATGTGAGTGGCTGTCAACTCAGGTTTTCTGGTTTCTTTATGAACTTGGATCAGTGCTCTGTTTTCTTCAGATGGTCCAGAGATGTGCTAGACTCACCCATGATTTTCTCTTGGCAATCTGTGCACTGTAGTTCAGCTACAGAATTGTTCTTAAGAAGCCCAACCCATAGCTTTGGAGTCAGGAAAAGACAAACCTGAGATAAGTCTGAAGGGACAAAATGGAAAGTCTAAATTAGCATAAAGAACTTAGTAATTATGCATGATCTTAGATGATTTTAGAAATTCTATCATATAGAAATGTAAAGTTCAAAATTTGTTCTGTCCGGTCATTCTTACCCTCAAGTCCATGAATATACTTAAGGAAGTCAATGACCTTTTACAAAGGCATACAAAATTTAATGCAAAGTGTATTCATAATTTTTCTGGGGAGAGTATAGATTTCATCAGACTCTTAAAGGGGCCCATAACCACTATCAATCCCCTTATTTTAGAAAGAGAATATTTGAACCCTGGAGGTATTCAGAAAATAGAAAATACCCAAGGCTACATAGAATAACTAACAGGTAACAAAGTATGAACTAATCAAGGTCCTCCCGATACCAGCCCAAGATCCTACCATTGTCACATGTAATTACAGGAAAACATTACTAAGTTAAAAAAAAAATGTGTATGTAAGATATATATATATATGCAAATGAATATGTATATTTAATACATGCCTGTCTTATATATCTTAAAACTTGTATTGCTCTATTTATAATGGCATATTCAAATCTCTTATTGAAAATGATCATAGGCATTGCTAATTTACCACAGACATAGCTGAAAACACGGCAACTGATACAGGGTAGCAAATAAAGTCTTCTCATAGACATTATATAATAGCCTTCTTTGTGATTTCCAACTGATGGCTGGGACATTGTAAACCTCAGAGTAAAATCTGTACTTTAAAAGATCAAAGTGAGTATTTAAAAATAATCAGCTCTGTTTCATTTGTGTATATGGCACACAGGGTTGAGAACCATGAGAATAATGTCACATTTTTCTAAGTTAAGAGTGGGTGTCTTTTCTATAGGGAAGGAGTGAATAACAATCCTGTAGTATTTGCAATTTACTAATTTAACAATGCTATTCAACAAGAGGGTAAATTTTGTGTTTCTTGGTTTTTCATGCTGGTTTGAGTTTTTAAATATTATATTGTTCCATTGTAAACTTCATGTTTCTATTACCTACTTTGAAAAGCATAAGCACCAATAATATTATTTAATGTAACTTAAGGTATATTGGGCTTCAGAACACTAAGTTATAGTATCACCTAAGGAAAAAATAGTTCATAAGTCAATCAGAGGATTGTGTAATATATGATTTGGGAAGAAATGGATAGATATTTACTTGACTGTGGCCTCTTGTTTCATAAATGGGGAGACAGATGCCCAAAGAAATAATGTGACCTAACTTAACAAAATTACAATAAAAATTAACATCAGCAATGAAATGGGAAACCAGGAAGTTTTGCATTCCCATGAACTTCCTGGAAGTCTAGAACCATAATAATTCTAACAGTTGTAGCTTGTTTAGTCTTTCAGGTTATAACTGAAGGAATAAAAACAATATCATTGGCATTTATCTTATCTTAGTCTTTTATTATTATAGTGAAGTCAGAATTATCCAATCCCTCAAAATGGGCTTCATTTCAAGAGGATATTCACCACAAATAGTAAATTTTTCAGTCTTTTTGATACTTACTTGAACATATATTCAAAGTTTCTGAAATATGTATGATCTTAGATCATATGGAAAAATCATACTTTATCAGTAATGGAAAGAATATTAAAGACTGATCATCCAAACCAAGGACTTTATTTTTACAGATGTGGTAATTGAAATATCAAACAGTTGCAGTAACAGTAAAAGTGACTTAAAGTCACAATAGGCCCAACTCACTTACTATCCCTCCCAGAAATTTCTTTAGAGAATTTGTGCTTTTTGTCCCTTCAAATCTGAGCTCTATAGGAAGAGCTTTATTAAAATTCAAGCAGAGCTGCTCCCTGGTCACTTCGTCCTCCAGGTTTCAAGACAACAGCAGACAAGGAAAGAAGTCATTATTCTGCAGGAGTATTTGATCCGAATCATCAAGGGCTGCTTTTACGCAGTGAGTGCATTTGTCACCCAACCAATTCACCTGGCTCTCTGGGTTTCAGACCTTGCAGGGAGTAGAGTCTGGGTTCCTAGCAATTAATCCATCTATACCAGTAGAGATGCAAGACAAGGATGAGTGAAACCTAGAATTAATAGTAGAGGAAGGAAAAGATGAGTTTTAGTTGGGCCCTCAGGATCCACTGCAATGACAGAGGCATTGACCAGAATCTCAAAGGAGGTTTCCCCACAATTTATATGAACCAGGTATACTTGGCGGTTTGAGGGGTAAACTACGGTGAACTGCCTAGATTATTTTTCGGGATTGAGGCACTTGTTTCTCCAGTTTCTGACACTGCAAGATGAGTCCTCTCCAAAGATTAGCCTTAACAGAAGAGACCCAACTTGCCTAATGTGATTTCCCCCTTCCAAGGGCAGCATGCATTCAACAAGTGATTCATCCAGGAGTATAGAGACCTGGTTTCCCCTTATCAAAATTAGAACTAATCGGTATGGTGTTCCCAATTCCAGAGTGTCCCCATGGGATTGGCTGAGGTTTTTGCTGAGACTTCATTGTAATCTTTTTTCTCTGCACTATCCCATCCCACTTCATGTGTTCCTACTGATTCCGACTCCACTCTCCACTAAACCTCTCTTCTGGGAAACTAACTTTCAAAAGTTTCCCATCTGGTAAGTCCTAGAAAAGTATTAAATACAAGTTTCCTGATGTCCAGGCAAGTCAATACAAGGCCCTCCTCACTTATCATTTCTCTAAATTGAATCTGAAATATGGAATTTTGTGCTTATATTGAAAAGCCATAGGAAGCTCTTCATAGTATCATTTTATCATTTTGTCGGAGGTCTAAGTGACCTGAATATCTCAGAGAGATGTGTGTTTGACACAGCTAGCCAGTTCTGATAGAACAGGAGTACAGTGGAGGATTCTGTGCACAGGAGATGAGCAGGTATTGAGAGAGAAGCAGCAAGGAGATGAAGACATCTGCATGGAGCGAATGACCCTAACCAGGCTTAAATAATTGCATTTTAAGTAATGGAATTTGATTGAAATTGACACAGTTAAAGGATTTAATTTGGAATAAATTTATCTAAAAACCTTCAGGTAAAGTGTTTAATTTCCTAACAAGTGTGTTTATTCCTGTGTTTAATTAAAATGCACACACACACACACAAAATGTCTTGAGCACACATTGGCAGTATTATTTTCACTTATTCTGAACAACAAAAATATGTCTAAATCTAACATAGAAATCAAGGTATTTGAGATCTTAGAGATACACCTCTTTTCATCATTTCCTGTTGTAAAGTTCCTCTACCTAATATATTGAAGTATGTTATATTTGATACTTAGTTGAGCAGAGTTCTTAAATAGTTTTGATAAAAATATGGTGACTACTTCCAATAAATGATTAACATTGTTTTACTTCTTTTAATGAAATTTGAGAACAAAGTGGGACATTTTTCAATAAAGAATAGCTTAAACCCCTCTGGATACTCAGTGACAACTCTCCACTTCTCCATTTTACAATTTTTACACTCACTGATAAACCCCTGGGCCCACTGGACAGTAAGTACTTGAGAATTTATTTAGAAATAATCAATGTTTCTACCTTTCTACATTTTCTCTTGCAAATACATCCATTAAGCTTAAGCAGATGAGCTGGGAGAAATTCATAGAAAAATATAAAGAAAAATTAAACTATTTGCTCTTTTTCACATAAGATGGAAAAGTAGAACACAGAATTGAAATATTTTCTTTCATTCACAGAATAAATAAGGATTCTGAGGGTCCCAGACATAACAACACACTGATGGAGACAAGATGTAGCACACTGAGAAAGCCAAACATTTCAATCCTGCGCAATGTCATTCCACACAGACAGATGCTTCTTCTGTGTGGGGAAGTCTCTTGCTCCTATCCCAAATCACTATAAATTGAGGAGTTAAACTAGAAGAGGAAAGGTTGAGAATATGCAGGAATGAGAGGAAAAGAGAATGAAGGTAAAGTCTGTGTTAGAGTATAAAATATGCAGCCTGAAATACTTTAAAACTTTAATATAAGTCAATGGAGCTCATTATTAACTTGCATAATATGAATACCTGAATAATAATATTACAAAAAGATAAGGAGAAGTTTTCAACTTCGCCTTCCTCATGATAACAGTGTGAGCAAAGTGTCTGTTTTATACACATGTATGTTTGGGACAGAGGGATGGTTTATCAGAATGAAATGAAATGGAAAGGCAGAAGGAAAAAACTACATGGGTAGGCAACAAAGCCATTTAAAGAACTGCAAATACATCCTTGGAAGAACTGAGAAAGTACTCACAAATTATTTTCTGCACAGCTGAATTTTTCTTATGGAACTGGTTGAGAAAGCCTGCTTTAGAAAGGAACTTCAGGTTAAAAGCAATAACTTCTCTATAAGATGCATATCAGGAACTATGATTAGCAGGTTCCCACAGCCCTGAGTGCTTGGCACAGTGCACAGCATCCAATAAAGATTTGTTGAACTGATAAATGAATGACTCAGGACTAGTGAATCTATCCAGAATAACCTAAACGCTAAAAGTCAGGGTCCTAATGTAAACAAACAGCAAAGAGCACCTGATAAGGATTCATTTGTATTTTAACTGTTCATAGAAATATATTAGTGACACCTTGCTGGTATGAAACAATGGCTACATTATGTTCCATCATTCCCTCTTTCTGCAGAAAGGCTTAGCTGTATACCTGGACTATATAAGCTGGAACACAGTATACCATGAGACAAGGGACACTTTTCAGAGAATAGAGCAGGAGAAAACCCCAAACCCTGTGGTTTGCCTTAGATATATACCTGTCGTATTTTTATTTTGGAGCTTACCACATTGTGGTGGGGGCAAGTTCAACGCTTGGTCTTACGACATTTCTGAATTACTCACTGCTTTCTGTTTAACCCCAGCTATCAAAAGCTTCCAGTAAAACTTCCTGTTGTTTCAATTGTCAGATACAGTCTGATAAGAGCAAGTTGAAGAGTCACAGAAGGCCATGTTCTGCTTCTCACCTCTGATAAATAGGAATTCATCTACATGAAGCATGCAGTGGTATATAAAACAAACCACAATGAAACTGTCAAGAAGTTGCTGCAATCTTTTAATGTTCTGTGTTATACAAAGTTCTCTCCTCATATTTTGGAGTCCAGCAATAATTATTCTTTCCTTCAGCATCTACTCCTCTGTTCCAACTAGCCTATGGATTCTTGAACCTTCAAGATGGCATGGATCTGCAAGAGGTGACACACCTGGGTTCTGGATATGAGTCATAAACAGCAGTAATTACAGAAACAGAACATCCAGTTAAAGGAAGGACATGAACAGTGGGATCCTATAAGGCCTTCAGCCTTGAATCAGCGCTTACCACAGCATGACTCTAATAACCAGAGGGAGGTGGAGGACAAAAAGCCCAAGCTGTCCAGCAGGGTCTTCACACAGCTGCTACCCTGTAAGTTCAAGTAGGGGGGATGTATTCAGACTTTCCAAAAAGTTCTACTTTTGCATGGAAAAAAACTTACATATCATTCTTTTTAAAAAGTGGAATAGACTACAGCTTAACAAATAGGATCCAGCTGTTTAAAATTAGACTGCTAAAAGAAATTCCATATAAGAACACTCCTTGGGACTGTAGCATTTTCATTAAATTAAAATCTGGTTGATTCATTCACTTAAGGTACTGGCCTTTCCAAACTGAAGCCTGAGATAGTTAATAAGTGTTGATAAGCATGTTGGTTGTAATGATGCTGTCTCCATTACTTAAATTGCCTGTAGTACTTACTTTTAAAGTTGTATGTTTTTACAAACAAAATGTTTGAATCACCACCCAGAAGACACTTGACCACACGAAAGCTGCTTGACTCATGGGAAAGCGGCAGGAGAAGCTAAGAGAATGCTGCGCTAGGATGATCTCTCTTTTACTACTTGGCAGTCACATGAACTTGGGCAAGTCTCCCCTCAGTTGTCCAACTATAATATGAATATAATGCTTATGAGGGTAGAACATAATAGTTGCTTAAAGTATTTTCTAAGTTCTAGTGGGACTTGATCATTCCATAACTTTTCTGGTATGGGCTGTATTTTTAATATGTGTCAAAATCAAACATACATAGGCACACATAACTTGACCCCTTAAATCAGTAGGGATTTTCTCCACAATGAGCCTTACACTTCTTCCCAGGCCTTCGTCATGGCTCCTTAATACAATACAGTGGGAAGATCTCTTGTTTCTCTTTTTCTGACATTAAGAGTCTGCTCTTATTGGGATGGTGATCCCTTCTAATTACAAAACCCACCACTCTTATTTCATTCATTCACATATTAGTTCAGATTGTGATAATTCAGGTCAGTTCAGATAATTATTCAAACATGGAGTACTTTTGTAAGTTCTAATTACTTGTCAAATATTATCCAAGATGGTACAAATATTAAACATTAGATATAACTAGTTAGATGTTGGGTACATAAAAACATCATAAAATATTTGCAAAGCACATGGCCCCTCCTACACAGAGTGACTAAAAACAATTCCTTCTTTAAAAATTTCCACATCAAATGACTTAGGACTCCACAACCTGAAAACCAAGATGACTCATAGAACAAGTCCATAAATAAGCCTCTTGTGGTTCTTTTGTCCCTGTTTATCCTTAAGAAAAAGGAAAAAAGAGAAAAACTTCCATCAAAGGCCATGCTTCTTAAACAGAAATGCAATAGGTACATGTTGACAAATAAGGGATGGTCCAAGCCAAATAATAAGCCTTATTCCTCTCCCTGAAACATCTGTTTTAAGATTTTTTTAAGTTTATATGATTTTCTAAAATAAAACAGAAGACACAAAATAATTCTCAAATGTTCTATGCCGCACTTAAGAATATACCCCCAAAGCCAACTCCCCTGCAGATTGCATGTATCCATTCTTACTCCTCTGTCATTCAGGAACACTTGAATGGGAACACTGGAAGGGAATAGGCCTAAGAAAAACTAAAAGTGTCTTTTCTTTGAAATGCAAAAGGATGTATGTAATAGCAAATTTACAAATCCATTTTCTTCAACAGTATGGATAACTTGCATTCCAAGTTGACAAGTATATATTTTGA